TTTTGCGCCGGCCACTGCCACTTAGTGACTTTGTAAGTTTTGAGATACAGCATGGTTTACAGTTAGCCGTTACTTGCTGGTTTATATCGTTCAGTTGATATTTGTATTTGAAAGTTGGTGTCTCATATATGCGGCTGAATTGCCGCATCGCGGCTTCCCGTGTATCAAAAAATTTGAATGTTATTCTCAAAATTTTTTTTTAAGATAGTTGGAGTTTGTGATAAGAAGGGTCTAAATCTAGATTATCATTTTGTAAGTATTTTGTCATATGTAATTTTAAAATTATACTATTGTAACTATTATGATACTAATTTTCTTAGGTTTTACAGAGAAAAGGATGTTTATAAACTTATATAGGATCGAACCAGCTACGCAACTGCAATCGAAACCAGGAATAATAAAACAAAAATTTGTTGTATTAATTGTAGCAAAAATTTTTGCAGAACACATTGCATTTCACACTGTGCAGAATGTACCAACATCACTGTTGATGATGACGGATAAAAATTTAAAAAATAAATGCTTATATTATGTTTCACAATGAACACAAATTATTCAAATTTGAAAGATTTTCGACATAAATTAAAAAACAAGGCAGTCAACCTTTGAGATGCACTTTTCGGCTAAATTGCCACGGCGCTTCCTCTCGTGTGGCTTTCAAAGCACGCCCTTCTAAGGGTTAAAGCAGGGTAGAAATGCTCCGCGGAATTTACTGAAAGCACCTTCGCTGCCCTCCCCACACAACCGACATTCACTTAGGTGAATGTAAGTTCCGCAGGGTTCCTTTCCGAACTTTCCTGCTGAAGCGGCTATTCTAGCCGATTAGAGTGACAACCTTCATAAGCGGTAGAAGTGGGAAGAGCATCTGAAGACTTGCATCTTCACCTCTGGTGTGAGTAAGCTTTGGTCAACCGTGAGGTCACTGTCCAATCCGACAAATAGCGACGACAGAATCGAAATGTCTTTCGGCGACCGCGCTTCGTGGGATCCGTAGCGATGCGGGAGCTATTTCAGCCGGCAATTTACTCTGCATCCTCCGACGGACAAAGCCAAACGTCGAGTGAGCAGAAGGCTGCACAAACTGCCAACAACAAACGCGCCTCTTATTTTCACTTGCGGTGAAGTTCAGGTAGACATCGGCAAGGCGGAAGCCTCCAAAGCCATGGGACCCGCCGGAATATTAATGTTGATGATGAAAAATTTGGGTCCTAGACTATTTAGCCAAGGTTCTCAACTTGTCAATGGCCACTCTCGTCATTCCAGACATCTGGAAGGGGATACCCCCAACAGAGGAGAGTCTTATCGCCCGATAACACTCCTTTCCTAGTAGCGGAGGCACTGGAGGCGTTGCTACTCCCGAATTTTACGAACCACCTGACCCAAGCGAAGCCTCAGCATGGTTTCCGTAAAGTTCACAGCGCAACAACAGCCCTTAACGGCATAAACACTCAGATAACACGTGGCCCAAACCGCAACCGTCCCTGTGAGAGAACCATTCTAGTAGTGTTGGATCTGTCAAAGGCGTTTGACATCGTCAGACACTCCACGCTGCTAGAAGACATAGAGCCTCTTCCCTCCCACAGAAGGTCGACACTCGTCAGTAATGTTTAGAGACAAATCGAGAAAACCTAGAAAAATAAAACAGGGGGTTCCACAGGGTGGAGCCCTTCCCCATTGCTCTTTAACTTTCATATTTCCAAGGTCCCTCAACCACCAGAGGGTGTCTCGATTGTTTCTTATGCTGACGAATGCTCTTCTGGGAATGGAATTGATGACTTGTGGTTGAAAGTAAACGGGTATCTCTTCGAGCTTTCTCGCTTCTTCACTGCTAGGAGCCTAATCCTCTTCCCTACAAAATCCTCAGCTACCCTGTTTACCACCTGAACGAAGAGGTCGACTACCGCTGGGTATTGACGTTGATGATACACCAATTCCGACGGTGAATAACCCGAAAATACTCGGAGTAATTTTCGACAGTCTTCCCTCCTTCTGTGCGCACACAACCGCAATTGTCAACAAAGTACAGAGCCATTACAAGGTCATCAAGTCGCTAACCGGCAGTACCTGGGGCAAAGACAAAGAAACGTTGCTGGCAACGTACAAGGCAATTGGCCGGTCAGTTCTAAACTACAGCAAATGCTTCCCAGAAGGGAGTACAAAACAATGCTCTGCATGCAATTCTTAGTAGGGAGCCACAGACGTAGACACGAGTGTTGATATTTTAAGTTTGAAAAATACTAAAGTACAATTTACTGATTTTAAGTACAATTTCAACATCAAAAATATTTTTTTTTTACAAAAATGAAATCTTTGCCAGCACTTTGATTATCCATACGTTTGCATTTAAGTAAATGGACATCGTGATTGTGAATGGCGTATTAGTGTTGAGCGTTGTGGTGATTGCGATTTTTTGTCACCGGTGGGTGAAATATCCCTCATCGCTATTTATTAAAAAAAAATCTTTGGAAGTGCAGTTTACCTAATGAAGATCCAGCAAAAAATCAAGTATGTAATTGAATAATTCGGGGATTGAAAGTAAAAAATTTTACGTAAATTTCATGCGTTGAAACTAAAAATTTGTATTGTGGACTTCCATTTTAGTGTTACTGATATCATTTTATGTGAATGATTTCCCTAATATAAACTGATCTATCTTCTGTATTAATTTTTTGTAGTTATTGTCTTCATATTTGAATATACATCCCGCGACAAAATTATACTGTTACCCGGGTTGAGCTATTTTTTTATATTTTTTCTAATTAATTAAATCTTTTTTTATAAAAGTAGAGGTCATTGTCTAATGAAACGAAATAACGGATTCAAATATTGAAAAAAAAATCAAAAAATTTTTATCAAAATTTCGCAGTTTTTATTCAGAATTTCGTCACCTGAAATGCAATATAACGTAACAAGATCGCCACTGAAATGGAAAAGTGGTAACTAATTTTTTTTTCATAAAACGATGTGGGGAGTTTTAATTTGATGAAATCCATCAAGCAATCAAAAAGTGAATTTGGAATTTTTTATAAGTTACGACTTTTTGCATTTCAGCGACGGTAATGTAACGTTATTTTGGATTTCAGGTGACTATTTGTAGAAATTTTTGGGGAAAACATTTTTGAATGCCATACATTTAATAAAAGGTGCAAGTTTTAGATGTCTAAAAAATACCATTAATTGTTGGCTTTTTTTTTTTTGTTGACGGTGTTGCGCACCTTCTTCCATATAAGGAATGTTGGCATTTTATTTTATACGGAAGAAAATCCGCAATACCGTTGTTGATATTTTTCTTCAATGAGCTATACTTTCTTAATAAAATTATGAAAATTAATAAAAAAAAAATTAAATATATAGCTCAAACTGGGTGACCGTAGAATTTTATCGCTGAGTGTACATTTTAAAATGTGGAATATAATTAAGAATTTATTTGTTACTTAAGTTAAACTGTAAACTTAATGAATTTTAGTGGGACTTTCTGTCAAAACTGGCTATGACGTTATGGGCTAGTTGGAGCGAGATCAATGACAAGTTACGTTAAATTAAGTCTACACCAACTGAAGCTTTACAATGAACTGAAAGATTGTAAACTTACTGTAGGAGACAAAAATATGGCCTATGTTTGGTTGAAGGAAAACGGGAGGTAATGTTTTGACGGAAATGGTCAAAAGTACAATTAAGCTCAAAAAGTTGCAGTTTTTGTCGTTGATTTAGTACAATTTAAAAATCTCAAATATCAACACTGGTAGACACCCCAATAGACACTTTATTGCAGAGTAGCCCTCGCCAAGGCATGTCAGAAGGCATCTATACGAACTTACGAACGAAGTCCAGAGGTTCATAAAGCTACTTCTGGATCCGTCAGCATATCGACCGGCCCTGAGCGACATTCACAGGGAGTAAGTCTCAAGTTACGTAGACTCCAGACCTGTGAATGACGTTCTGGGC